CTGGACCCGGTGGCTTAAACTCACACTGGGCGCTTGTGTGTACGTGCCCAAGATCCCGAGAGGATAATGGATTGTGGTGTGTTCACATGTTTTATAAATATTTGAGTTTGATTAGGTGATTTGACTGATAAACTGTTAAGTTTTTTCATGTTTGATACTTTGAACATGTATATTGTATCTTTGCATTTACTCAAATAATACCTGATTCTTAGTTTTAAAAAAGATTTTTGCTATTAGGGCATGTGTACTCACTGGAAAGACAGAGAGAGACAGAAAGTAAGAAATCATACCCTCCCACCCCAGGGGCAGCGGGGAATGGCCATGCTGCAATCCCTTCTCCATTCTCTGGTTGGGATTTAGGGCATGTACACACATACTCTCAGCATGAGTTTCACAGTTGGTCTAAGACTCGAACCATAGTCAGCCACATGGAAATCCAGCCCCTTAACCACTACACCACCTGCTGACACCTACTTCTGGATTATTAATTGAAGGTATACAACTTTATCATTTGAGAAAGACTGAACAAATTATGCTTAGGTTTAATTTATATTTGGTGTTTTATCATTAGCTCAAATCTATGGAGTTTTATGAATGAAGATGTTAATAGAGGATTCATTAATTAAGGTTATCTTAATATCCCTTTTTATTAAAAATTGGTTGATAATATTAAGACCTAGTAGTTTATTGCAGTCATTGGCATCTGATGGTGAGAGAGAATTAAATTTTCTGTTTACATTTTTTTTTTTTGAGAGGTTTTTCACTATAGGGCGCATGCGCTTGCCAGACAGATAGAGAGAGACATAGAGACAGAATGCGAGAAATCACCCCCCAGAGGGGATGGCCACGCCACAATCCCTTCTCCTCCATTCTCCTCTGGGGATCTTGGGCACGCACGCACACGTGCCTGGCGTGAGTTTTAAGCTACCGGGTCCGGGACGCGAACCGTGGTTGACTACATGGGAGTCCAGCGACATAGCCTTTATGCTAACTGCTGGTTCCTGTTTACATTTCTTTTCTTTTCTTTTTTTTTTTTTTGAGAGGTTTTTCACTATAGGGCGCATGCGCTTGCCAGACAGATAGAGAGAGACATAGAGACAGAATGCGAGAAATCACCCCCCAGAGGGGATGGCCACGCCACAATCCCTTCTCCTCCATTCTCCTCTAGGGATCTTGGGCATGCATGCACATGCGCCCGGCATGGGTTTTAAGCCACCCGGTCTGGGACGCGAACCATGGTCGACTACGTGGGAGTCCAGCAACATAGCCATTACGCTAACTGCTGGTCCCTCTGTTTACATTTCTTAAAGCTCCAATTTAGATACATTCAGTGCTTTCACACAATATCAATTATAATTGGGGTCAAATGTATGTTAGCTATCCCCTCTTCATGTAATCATAAATAGCACTTTTATTAATAAATGTGCCAATCGTTCTTTTGTGTTTTATAGTGTAATAAATGCATTCCTTCCACTATCCAGTTCTGTCTCAAATTAGTAATTTTTTCCTTTGAATCAAATATACTTGTGACTAATTTAGGGGACAGAAATATACATGAACAGCACAGGCTTTGAAGTGAGACCTTGAATTTATCCACCTATTTTTATGACACTAGAGAAAATTATCTCTAAGCTTGAGGTTTTTTAGTGTTAAAACTGATACAATAATAACAACTTTGTAGAGGTTCTCTGAAGATTGAAAGAGACCATGCATGTCAAGCTACTTGGATATTGTTTATCACTATGCAATTGTGCAAGAAATGGCACCAGAGATGATGGCGTTACTTTTACTTTGCTCCTATTATATTCTTTAGATTCTAAGTTTCTAGAGGGCAGGGGTGGTACACTAGACTGTCTGGACTGCTCCCAACACAACGCCATTCATTCAATATCTTCTTTTTGTTGTTCCCCCTGCCTCTTTCCAATCAGTGCTGTCAGCCCTAGTTTATAAACTCTTACAGGAATGGAACCACATCGATTTATCTTGCTCAATAAATCCACATCACTCTAGCAAATATTTCTTGATTATGCTGCTGATTCAGCTGTCTCATTTCCCCTAATCCAGTTGAGAATATTCTGGCATGCCCTTTTTTTGAACACACTTTAATTCAGAATGAAAGAAAGACCATTACTGGTTCAATTAGCTTGAACCTAACATAACCCCTGAGCTTAATTTTTGGATTAACACTGGCACTTCTGCCATTTTTTTCTTTCCTTGGCTCCTTCTGCTATGTATGATTTCAAGACAACGACAACTCCCTTTGGACTTTTGGCTGAAGGCACTTGTCACTTCCAATTCATTATTTCCTTGATATTTGCTCACTGCAGAGCATCTGTCTCCACACAAATAGCTTTGGAAGAAAACATACCTCTCTGTAATAGCAAGACAAAAGTGATGCCTGATTATAAGTTTAGAAAAATAAAACTATAGGAGGGTTATTTTAAGGTTTTCAAAATCTTTAGTGGATCTATCTTATTTATGCTGCTATTTGAGTTTCCATCAGGTATATTGCGTATGACATATGCTTGTGGAACCACATTAGTCAAGTCATGTCGTCTGCTCTACACATGTTTTATTTAATATTGCCAGCCTGTGACATGTGGTCTGACTAAATAGTAATATTATTAAACTGGAAAGTTGCATGTCTTTAACTATGCAAAGGCTAGGATTCCTTGTTGGGGAAATGAATAAAAGTAGCTACTGACACTTATTTACTAATTTTTTTGGCTCATGACACATTTTGTTATATTTTGTTTGTATATTTTTATTTTAAAAAAGTTGTTCAAGGGATCAAAGATGGCATAAATTTTGTTTGTATTGTTTTTCAAAAAAAATAAGTTGTTTAAGAGATCAACCAATGGTTATGTTCCTGGACTCCCACGTAGTTGACCACAGTTGAAGTCCTAGACCTGATGACTTAAATTCACGCCAGGTTTATGTGCGTGTGTGCCCAAGATACTAAGAGGAGAATGGAGGAGAAGGGATTGTGGCGTCGTCATCCCATTGGTGGGTGATTTTTCGCTTTCTGTCTCTGTCTCTCCAATGAGCATATATGCCCTATCGCAAAAATCTCTCTTAAAAAAATAATAAGTTGTTTAGAACTTCTGTTGACTCTGTCAAGCAGGTTACTAGTTAAATGATAGTATCCAAAAGATACTATCTTTCATATCAGTTAATCATGCGTAAGATAAAATTCTACACTATTGAACAAATTTTTGCTATCCTTGATGCTCAGAATAATTCAGAGTAGCATGTTACAGTAGAGAGAATAATGAACTTAGAGCCAGAAGTCTAAACACTGTTGATGGAATGAATATGTGACTTGACTTAGGTCAGTACTTCTTGGGCCTGTGAAATGCCTACTTTCCCTGGATGATGGGATCCTTGAATGTCTATGTGAAATACTTTATTTAAAAGTGTTTAACACACAGCAAGTTAGTTTTCTTGTGACCTACCAATGAAAAATTTCATTGTTGTTATTTTTCTCTTTGCAGTTAGAGCTTCCCTTTTTCCTTTTCTTTTTAAATTTTTGCTAGGAATTCCTTGTGCTTTACTTTTAAGAAAATAGTACTCAGGACCAGCAGATGACAGGTTATGTTATTGGATTCCCATGTCTGTCATTCATATCCCAGACCTGGCACCTTAAATCTCATGCTGAGTGCAAGTGTGTGTGTGCCCAGGATCCTGAGAGCAGAAAGGAGGAGAAGATATTTTGGCATGGCCTTCTCCCTGGGGGATGATTTCTTACTTTCTGTTTATCTGTCTCTCCTTGTCTCTCCAGCAAGCACATGTACCCTATAGCAAAAATCTCTCTCTCTCAAAGAAAAAGAATAAAATGGCACTTTATGTCATCTAACAAACATAGAAAAATATGTCATGACTCTTCCAATAAATAATATATGCATATATCTGTGTGTATATGTATATATGTACTATGTACACATTTTTGTCAGATGATATTGAATATCATTTTTTCAAATGTAATGTGCAAAGAATAACACACACACATACACACATACACACACATATATACACATATACATATATATTTTAGCTTGCTATAGGGTGTGTATGCTTACCAAAGAAAGTCCTAGAGAGAAGGAAAGTGAAAAAGCACTCCCCAGAAGAGACAGCCATACTGCCATCTTTTCTCCATTCTACTCTTTTGACTTTGGGAATGCTTGCACATGTGCCAAGTGTGTATTTCAAGCAAATGAGTCTAGTATTTGAACCATGCAGTTGGCCACGTGGGATCCAGTTGTCTTAACTACCATAGTAGCAATTGACCCTTCATAAATAGTTTTTTAATTTTATTTTTTATTTATGTATTTTTTTATTATTATTCATACCATTTTGTGCTAGCCACCTGGATACAGCAAAATCATACAATAGAGTCAACACTATACTCAGAAAGGACTCTAGCAGTAGATGGCACCTGAATGTTCCTAAGTTTCAGTGTGATAAAGGTTAATTCAATATAGCTGTCAGGCAAAAAGAAGGGAAAACTATAAACAATGGCAATACAATAAAGATAAAACTTCACTTGAAGCTATGACTTTAAAATGAAAATAGAAACAAGAGATTTACCTTCAGAAAGATGCATACTGCAAAACTGTTTTCCACATTACAAAACAAAACAAAACAAAATACATGGCTATAAAATAAGAAATTCAATTTATCAGTTTAATATTCATAGTGAAAATGTCCAGAAATCTGGAGATGATTGCGTTTGTCACTTTCTTCCATGTTTCAAATTAGCTGCATGTCTGGAAGGATGTGGAACAATTAGCGATGATGGAAAGCCATTTTCCACTTTGCATCAATACACTTGGATTTCCTTGAGAAGACATACGAATGAAGATGTACAATCAGGTGTCTTTCCCTTCCGAAGCCTGGTAGGCATAAACAACATGGTTCTGAGGGCAGAAAGTAGTCAGGAAGTCTGGACATCTTTGACCCTGTCATTCCATAGCTTAGCATGCATGAGTTGAGTTGAGGTGTTTCACTTGTTTTTATGTGGGAAAGCTGTTAGTGAAGCTCGAACCCTGGGTCTTCTGAAGTCCACAGCTTCTTTACACTATAGATTATGTAAAAGATCAAGTCAGTCACAGCTTCCCACTTGAAGTGTTTTTTTTTTCTTCTCTCCCTTTTGAACAAGCACTTCTAAAGAGATTTAAGTTTCTCAGCTTTTCTATTGCCTTCAACTAGAATTTTATACTAAATCTCTAGTGGCTCTTGGATGGGTGAACATAAAATGACTTTCACCCTCTGGAACTTTCTAGTGGTGAAAGGGCATTGGAACAGAAGTTGAAAGATATTGGATAATGTGTACAATTTTCTAAAGCTGGGATCTTATACAAGTAATCATGATTTCATGATTTTTCCCAAACTTCCATTTCCTTTTTTCTTTCTTTGTTTCTTTTTTTTCCCTTTAATTTTTTTTTTTTTTGTAAAATAAATGAATAGGACAACATGTATCTTAGACTAATTTAATTTGGTAAATATTTATTAAACACTTACATTTCAAAGATAAAAATGCTCCTGGAATTCTATAGTCAAGGGTATTAACAATTTCCTACTATTATATGAAATGTAGCTTTAGTTTGGTGGGGAATCTCACTATTCCAACTGTTAGCAGAAAATAATCAAACTCTGTAAAATACTGAAAGAGGTTTCTTCTAAGCCAAATATGCATAACCACATCTAGCTTGCAGCATGGATAAACATAATGCAGATAGCCCCAAATATGCTCACCAAGGTCTTCCAATGCTCAGACAGACTTTAAAGCCAAAAACCACATGTGGCAGGGGAGGAGGAAAAGGTTATTAACTATTATCCTCAGCTACCAGGATCAATAACAACAATGGTGTATGTACATCGAAGGTTGGACAGGCAGCCTCTGGGCAAATACCCTTATAGAATTAGTCCTTCTATCAGGTTGCAATGGTCTTTGTGAAGGTTGTGTTTCTAGTAGAGTTCTCTAAATGATAGTTCTTGTTCTCAGGCATGCTAGTGTGATAAAACACCTTCTCTACGACCTTTTTAGTCAGGGTTTTAGCACAAGCTGACACAAATGGTTCCATTTCAATTCTGAAAAACTTTCACATACCATATAATATCATTATTTGCCTTCTGTGATTTATTTTCTATAGATTCTTTCTCATCTGACCTGACTGCTTTGCCCTGAGTATCTAAATTCCACTCATATGTCAAGAACAGTTCAAGTCTCACCTAGTCCATAAATCTCTCTTATTTTTGCCTATTATAATCTATGAAATTTGATTGAATTTACTTAATTCTTCTTTAGTTGTTTAAGGTGTGTTGGTTTTGTTTCCTGAATTAGCTTATAAGTTCCTGTAGGTCATAAATTATGTTCTATATCTCTATTGCAGACACATTGAACTTACCAAAGGGTTAACCACACACTAGATAACTAATAAAAACCAATTCTAATTAGTTAATAACATTTGCCTTCAGCACTTCAAATGCTACAATGGCCAAATAAGCTATTGTTTCCCAGAATAATGCAATTGATGAACATTACTATTTTATCTTAAGTAAATCAAGCATATTTTATCTCACTTATAAATTTATAAAGCAAAAGTTACTATGTTTTTTTTCTATGCTTATGTTATGTTCTGAATACTTGTGTCCCCCAAAGTTCATATGTTGAAATCTTAATCTCCAAGATAAAATGACTAAGGGTGGAGTTTTCTAAAGGTGATTAGGTCACCAGGGCAGAGCCCACATGATTGGGACTGGTGCCCTTATAAAACAGACCCTAGAGAGATCCTCATCCTTCTCCACCAGTCAAAGGCACATGCAATCTGTGATCATACCAGATACCAAATCACCTGTTGCCTTGATCTTAGACTTCTCAGACTCCAGAATGGCAAAAAAATACATTTCTGTTTTTTATGAGCTACCCAGTCTGCAGTATGTTACTATTGTAGCCTGAGTTGACTAAGACAACTTCCTACAGAGGGCATGAAATAATTAACCAGACATTCTTCTTCTTCTTTTTTTTTTTTTTTTTTGGAGAGGTTTTCGCTATAGGGCGCGTGCGCTCGCCAGACAGACAGAGAGAGAGACATAGAGGCAGAAAGCGAGAAATCACCCCCCAGGGGGGATGGTCACGCCGCAATCCCTTCTCCTCCATTCTCCTCTCGGGATCTTGGACACGCACGCACACGCGCCCGGCGTGAGTTTAAGCCACTGGGTCTGGGACACGAACCGCGGTCGACTACGTGGGAGTCCAGCGACATAGCCATTACGCTAACTGCTGGTTCCCACCAGACATTCTTCTGTTATTACACCCAAGTAAAAGTTGAAAGGTGTTAACACTAGAAGGGCTTATAAATAAAAATATTTGTATACCATTATGTTTTTTTTCCCGTAAGTAGAAATTATTTACAGTATGAACTCTAAGGAAAAATGTACACTTTGAGTAATATTTATTTTGAATTAAAAAGCCCATTCTTTAGGAAAGCATTTCAGAAAGTTGTGCAAAGAATGTAAGAAAATCCTTTCCATGGTTAACAAGAAAGGCAGGTAAAAAGAACTTCTGAAGAATATGGAAGATACGAAAGAAAATCTCTTAAAATCTAAAATTTAAAAACTGGTGTAAATTGACACTAAGTAGCTCTGCTATGGAAAGGCAACTCAGAACAGAGAGCTATGGGATGCAGAAGGAACTTGGTCACCCCTAAAATAAAAGCTTTGCTACCTATCCCTCATCCCAAGGTAAGATATAGATGTATGTATTTATCTGGAAGGTATGCACATACCTGACAAACCTCTCATACCCAGAATGGACAAATTCTGGCAGTAGCTGTCTTCAGAGGATATCATGTAAATGTCTTATTCAACAAGCATGATTGTACAGCTTTGACTCTAGATTGTGAGTCCTAGTGTATACTGGATGTCGGGAAAGTCATGATATATATTTTTTTCCTACATAAAAGTGCTTCATGATATTCCTGACTCCCTAATATACTAATTAATACATTCAGTCATTTATCAATGCATTTATATCTTGCCTTATTTCAAAATTTGTGGTGGCCATGTCCGGAAAACTGTTCTTTATTTTTAGCTATGCTATAAACAAGTGCCTTTGAAAAATGTAGTCAACCTTTCTTGGACTCATTTTACTCATCTAAAAATGAAGGAATTAATCCAAATAATCTTTGCAATCACTTCTTGCATTTCTTTACGCAATGCCCTGATTTCCTTAATATGCTTAATAAGAATCACCAGGAAAGACTTGTTACGAATAAAACTTCATGAGGAAAGAAGGCTATATAAATAAAAAGCAATAATAATATAAATGTAAAATAATAACCTCCACATTCTGGCACTCTGCTACTAGCGATAACATTGGTAAGAAAGTTATTTACAGAAGCACAACATCCCTGATGAAGGCAATAATGAGAGTAACTTAGAAGAAGCAGAGCTAAGATACATGGCAATAATAAGAAATAATTAATTGGTAGCAGGCCATTTAGAAGTCAAAGTTACAAGAAAATAATGAACTTACAATTTCTAAGGATGGGGACCACAATACACATATGGTGCATAATAACCAAATCAAGGATAAAGATGTAGTCCTTGTCTTCACCATTGAATACTGCAAAATGTACAGTTGATAATATTACAGTTCTAGAAGTTTTCTTTAAGTATATATTGAAATATCAACAACATGTTTATGCAACTGTAGTGTACAGTTCAGTGAACTATTCCATGTGTTTACATACATTTTTGTGTATGGCTTATATTCTCTCTACCCTCCAACCTCAGATAAAGCTCCTTTTATTAGGAGGTGGGGAACAAAATTTGATAAGCATTGGAATTCTAGAGATCTCATGGCAAATACAGTCCTCTTCATTTTCTGCAAGATCCATATTTGCAAATTTGCCTACTTGCACTTGTGTAAGTGTGTTTACGTGTAAATATAAATGTACATAAACAGTGAGAGTCAGCTGTGCTGAGTTGGCAATTGCTGGTTGCCTAGCCTATCTGAAACTGCCTTCTAAATCTGCAAAATGGCCACAGTTGTACTTACCTCTTAGTTTTACTGTAACAATAAAACATAATTCCATTTGGAAAGCTCATGTCATTAGTTGGCCCTGAGCCCAGCTGAAAATTCACTTCCTCCCTACTGGAATCCCCTTGCACTGCCTCCTTGTACTGGTAGTTTTTAACTCTGCATTACTATACTCTAAATAATTGCTGCCAGTAACAGGTGTTATCTTTGTTGAAATCTCTGAAGCCTCACACATTTACAGAACTTTCAGTCTTTCTTGTCAGACACTGTGAAAGCTATAAAAGTAATAATAAAAATTAATAAAAGTAATGCAATATAAATGTTGGATTTAGGAAAATATCCTGAGAACCTTCCTTAATGATAACTTGGTTTATATTTTTTTGTTTGTTTATGGTTCAAATTCTTTTTTCCCCTTATATTTGCCTAGAATGACTCATTTCTATGGGTGAAATTCTGAACTCTAATTTTAATGGGAGCAGTTCTGGCTGATGCTTAATAGATGTATGCATGAGAGTGGATAAGGGGAAATAATGACTTACAGCTTAACAAATACCCGAAGATGAAACTAGAGCTAAAGCTAAGAACAAAGAGCAATTTCCTAGCCACCATTCCATAGAGAATGGATTTGTAAAGTACTAGCTTCTGGTTGAACTCTTAGTAGAAGCTAATTTCAGGAAATCTAAGCAAGAGAGATTTCAGTTTGAAGAGCCTGGGGGATAATTTAGTGAGTGGCATAAAGGAGATAGAAGATAGAATTCCATCTACTAAGAATTTTTTTTTTTGTCTTCTAAGTTACTAATAAAAAATATCTGTTTTCAAAAAAGTGGCACAGAGCAGGAATATCAGATGAGAGGGAACTGAGTGAGGGAATCCTCCAAAGCTTTGTCTTCTCATGAATTAAACTAAAACTGCATGTGTGTTCAATGTGTAATTATATGAGAATCATGTGTTTGTGAAAATTTTTTTTAAATGATGCTTTTTGCTAATCTTTTTCCTTTCTCTTACATTGAGGTATCTCCAAATCCCATGCTCAC